CTCTTCTAGGGTCTCCTGCACACTTTGTCTGTGAGCATATAACTTCTCCAAATCCCATCTAGGTCTGCGCTTTTGGAATCTTATAATTTTCTTCAACCTGGTTTGAAACTTGGCAACCAGTAAGTTGTGATCAGAGTCAATATCTGCCGAAGGCAGCGTCTTCACATCCTTCACACTGTTTCTGAATCGATGTTTCACAAGGATGTAGTCCAGCTGATGCCGCCTCCAATCCCCAGATGCCGTCCATGTGTAAAGTCTTCTCTTTAGCTTCTTGAACCAAGTGTTGGTAACAATCAGTCCATTTCTTTCACAAAAGTCAATAAGTATTTGACCCGTGATTCCGTCTTCCTAGTCCATGTGATCCAACAATATTCTGATGATTCTTCTCCAACACTGCTATTCCAGTCTCCTAATATGATGCTGTTTGTGTCACCTCTTCCATCTTCCTGAAGAATTTCTTCAATTGTGTCATACACTTTTTCCACTTCATCATCTTCATACTCTGATGCTGGCATGTACACTTGCATAATCAGTATATCTACCGGTTCCGCCTTTAACTTCAGAGCAATAATTCTGTCATTACAAACAATCTTCTTAACAACATTCCTCACTACACTTTTATGCACCACTATTGCCACACCTCTTTCAGCCCGTTCACCTCCAGAATAATACACTGTATAATCACCACTTCTTATTTCACCTTGTCCTTTCCATCGCACTTCACTGACACCTCATTCTTCTGCATTTCCTTTTTCAAATTCTCTAATTTGCCTGCTTGATTCAAGGTCATTACATTCCATGTTCCAATCTTGTAGCCGTGATATTCCTTCTGATCTTCGCACTTTTTCTTGTCGTAACTCCTGCATGACATTTTCCTCTAGAAACACTCCCCCCCCCAGAGATCCAATTGGGGGAGTGGTAGTGCCGTAATACAGGAAGATTGTTTTGTTGGCCATACCTGTTGTTTCTCAATGAAAAAAATTTATGAAACAAGACTGGGTTTGGTGATATCAACAACCTTCATAAAACACTGAAACAACATGAGAATTCTCAGACTCACATTATTTCAACAGTGCAACTTGTTATGTTTGGGAAATCTTGAATTAACTGTCAACTTGACAATCAAAAGCGCCTGACGATACTACAGCAGAATGAAAATGTGAAAGAAAACGGAGAAATAATGAAATGCTTGATTGATATCATCTGCCATTTAGGAGCGTGGATTCTATCGACCGATGTAATTATGTAGCCGAGAATTTGTTGGTCGCCTTGTCTCACATTCATTCTTCACTTCCATTCGTTCTCTCTGGGGAGGCCGGTACTTCTATTACCGGTTCCTCCCATATGGGCCGTTTCCTTTTTCGTTTTGGAGGGGGTCAACCCCTCCATAAGGTCCAATTCATTTTTGTCTTCAGGCTGGTATGAGGTCCAACTATTCGATTCTCGATCTCTAGTCCTTGGTTCTTCCTGAGGGTTCGGCTGGCTGTTCCCTCGTTCCCATGATGCAGCTGCTGTCTTTTGTACCCTTTTTTTTGGTCCATTGCTGCCCTCTGGTTTCTCCTGTGGTCTCCGCCCTCTGGAGGTTCTTCTTGCGACGTTGTTCTTGGTCAGGATGTTCCCGATGATGTGTCCCCAGCGTCGTACCACTGCTGCACGGAGGGACATCCTGCCGGGAGCGGTGACATATTTCTTCTGGCACCCATCCTGAACTTTGGTCCATTCTTTCTTGAAGGTATCTCTCCTTCGATGTGCCACTGCCACGTGTGGGGTTGTGTTCAGCCTGCGGATGTCTCTCATGTGTCATGCCACTGTCGCGCGACAGGCATCTTCTTGTAGGCTTGCATTTTCCGTGCCAGTCCCACACGGCGTGTTGTCCTGTGTGTGACGGCCAATTCTTTGTGGGGCCCATGATTTTCCCCTGCCAAATCCTTCGCTCTGTGGCGACGGCGCTCCGCGGCCAGTTTTCGGTCCCTATGCCATTTCCTTGGTTCTCCGACCGGCATTATCGTGGCGTCTACCACGGGTACCTCTCGATGCTCCACTACGGACTGCATCACATCTAAATGGGGCTTAATCATCCCTGCATCTGCCTTCATTGCTTCTCGGCAGGCTGTCGTCCTTATGTCGTTTTTGGCCACTAAATCTTTGTGGCTGCCGTTCCCCCAGCTGTCTATCATGGCGGCCATTTCTTCTCGCCATGCTTTCCGATCGGACATCATCTGTTCATGTCTGGCGTCGGCCTTGGCCTGGTTGGCGTCTAGTTTAACCAGGAACTTTAGCCAGGTACTTAAACTTATAATCAACAGCTTATAGCTGATTCCTTTCAAAATTACTTTCTATTAACAGCAGACAATATAATTTCCAGTGTCAATAACAATGAGGAATTAGAAGATAATAAGTGTATTAATTATCTATACAGTGTTTTCAATAACCCCTTTCCAAATATAATATTTGATAATACAACGACTAGGGAAATTAAAAAAAATTATTAAATCCCTTAAGTCCAAAAATACATTTGGATATGATGAAATTTCAGTAAAAATCCTTAAAATAAGTTCTCCATTTATCATCGCTCCTTTGAATTATATTTGTAATAGGTCAATTTTATCTGGTTCATTCCCTACACAATTGAAATATTCTGTGGTTAAGCCATTATTTAAAAAAGGCGACAATAAAGATATAAAAATTATAGGCCTATATCATTACTAACTTCCTTTTCTAAAATTTTTGAAAAGATGATGTAAATAAGACTTTCTAAACATGTAACAAATAATGCTATATTATCTAGTGAACAGTTTGTGTTTAGAAGCAATTTCTCAACAGGAAAGGCAATGTTTAAACTTCTAAATGATATTTTACAGGCCTTAAATAATAAGGAACTTGTGGGAGGTATTTTTTCTGACCTCGAGAAAGCCTTTGATTGCGTAAATCACGACTTATTAATGGAGAAACTGATATTCTATGGAATTGTAGGCAGTGCATATGCTCTAATCAAATCATATCTCAGTGATAGGTATCAACGAGTCCTCATTGATGATAAATTAACACATTCTTATGCTTCTTCAGAATGGGGGAAGATTAAACATGGAGTGCCCCAGGGATCTATACTTGGACCAATGCTTTTTCTTTTGTACATAAATGACCTACCTAAAGTAGTTAGTTATAACTCCAAGCCAGTCACGTTTGCTGATGATACCAGCATTATTGTCAGTAATCCTAATTTAGTAACTTTTAAGGATATTATTTCCTCTTTCAGACAGTTGAATGAATGGTTTAATACAATTTGTTGTCACTAAATTATAACAAAACTCAGTATATACAATTTAGAACAACTAACAGCCAAACCATTCAATTAGATATCGGTTATAAAAATAAATATATTATTAACAATACAAATACTCAGTTTTTAGGTATTACTGTTGATAGTTCCTTGTCATGGAAGCATCATATTGATGGACTTATGGTTAAATTAAGCAAAGCATGTTATGCTATTAGATCTTTAAGACCCTTTGTGTCCCATGAATCACTAAGGATGATTTGCTTTTCTTATTTTCATGCAGTTATGTCATATGATATAATCATCTGGGGGAATTCGCCTTATAGTATCAATATATTTAAACTACAAAAAACGGCCATAAGAATTATTACAAATTCCAGAAATAGGGATTCATGTAGGGAGTTGTTCCAGAAACTAGATATATTACCGTTTTATTCTCAGTATATATTTTCATTACTAATTTTTGTAATTGATAATATTTCTTTTTTTAAAACAAATTCAGAGTTAAATGATATCAACACCAGAGGTAAAAATAATTTTTACCTTTCACAGCCAAGGTTGTCTGTCTATAAAAATGGTGTTTATTATATGGGTATAAAAGCATTTAATCACTTACCTCCTTGCATAAAAAAATTGACTGATGATAAGAATCGATTTAAAAATACTCTAAAAAATTACCTTTTATTGAATTCTTTTTATTGACTGAATGATTTTTTAATAATAATAATAATTACTAATTTTAATATGAATTTTTAAGATTTTATGTATCATAGGTGACTTATTTTGGCATAAATATGTTATCATCTACCTTTTGGTATGATGATTTTTTACAATATTAAATTTAAGATGTTGTTATGTATAATGTTAAAGTAAGAAGATAAAAATTTTGGTTTCTTGTCTGTGACTGGTTCTATATTCATCGGGTGTATGTGTAGCCCAGACGGGATCGATGGAATTTTATAATAAACTACACTAAACTAAACTACACTGAACATTTAAATATTTTCAAGATAATAGCCTAATGGATAAATGGCAGTCACATTACACACATACACACACAGAAATATATATTACATTCCATGAATCCAGAATTAGTCAAAAATGACTAGAGAGGAGGGAAGAGTGGAGTTTATTTGCATTCCATAGATTCTGGGCTAAACCAAAGGACGCAGAATATGCCATAACAGAAGTAGGATGCTGGATATAAAAAAAAACATAATACAAAACATGTATGTTCATTACCAACTGAAGGATTCAGTTCTGTAAAATACCTGCTTCTGGGAGCACACTGTTGTTATTGGTAAATGAATCTGATCTTCTCGATCTCCCTGATCCAGAGGAGTTATTTTGAGAATAAAAAGGTGCAGTTGGTCCTTGGAAAGAAAAAGGCAATTATCATTAAGTAATATGTATGAAACTATCATTTAACATAAAAACCAGGAGCCCCCCAAAAAAAAGGTATGGGAGCCCCAACATCAGATATATTAGCAGAAACATATATACAATATATGGAACACACACAAATATATCCCATTCCAGTAAAACAACAAATAGTGGCCTACTTCAGATATGTCAATGACATATTAATAATATATGATGAAAAAATAACAAACATAGAACATACACTCAAAGAAATTAATGAATTGCAACCAACTATAAAGTTCACCATTGAAAGAGAACAACAAGAATCAATTAACTTTCTAGATATAACAATATATCGCAATGAAGGTAGGTTGCAATTTGCAATATATAGGAAACCCACACAAACAGACATCATTATACCTAACAGTTCGTGCCATCCATTCGAGCACAAATTGTCAGGTATTAATTACCTCATAAATAGACTGTACACATACCCAATAACAGAAAAGGGAAAACAAATAGAGAAGAACACTATTAAAAACATACTACATAACAACGGATACAGCACAAACATAATCAATAGATTAAATCAGACAACACGAAAACAAAAATCAAACATACATGACGACGAACAACATAAAACAAAGTGGGCCACATTTACATATAGTACAAAAGAAGTGAGAAAAGTTACAAAACTTTTCAAAGACACACAGATAAAAGTAGCATTCCGCACACGAAACACAATAGGAAATATACTCAAACAAAAACCACAATTAGATAAATACAATAAAAGTGGCATATACCAAATGAAATGTGTAGATTGCCCATTGAAATACATTGGGCAAACAGGCAGAACATTTAGCACTAGATATAAAGAACATATACATGATATTAGAAATAATGATAGCAATTCCGGGTACTCAAATCACATACTAAATACAGGACATGCATACGGAACAATAACAGACGTAATGGAAGTTGTAACAACGGGAAAGAAGGGCAGACATTTAAATACATTAGAGAAATACCATATATATAAAATAAGTAAGAAAGGCTTACACATGAATGATACACACATAGAAACACACAATCCCATATTTCAAACGATACACGAAATCTACACAGACTAACGGTACCTCTCTCTCCCCACTACCCATCCCCCCTTACACTCACTAACATAAAACACAGCACACAATACAGCAGACAGCACACGTAGTACAGACAAGCAGCGGCACCCACACAAGAAGACTACATTAAGTAAGTACAAATAACAATATACACACATAAGAAAATATTACGTACAGAAAATATTACGTACATAAAATAATAATACGAATATTTGTATATTACAGATAACACCTGTACAGTGTGAAAACAAGAACTAGCCGCTCCAGCACTTAGACATAGGGCGAGTAACCCTAAGAATTTTAAATTTTAAATTTAAAATTTAGAGAAAATTTTAAAAGATTTTAAAAACATCATAACTAAAGATTTTTAGAGTGCTACTACAAGAATATCGGGTTTGACGTGTGCAACATAATCTACATACCAGACACATATCAACGATGTAAATGTTGATAATACGAAGAATGTGACATTGTGTTTTTAAATGTTAAATTTTACACTGGGTTCAGTGTGGCAGCAACGTTAAGAGTATACACCTGATGATGGCCGATAGAGGCCAAAACATGTAGTGTAGAAAGAACAAGATCAAGGACATATAATATATATTGTTTACACTTAGGACGGAGTTTGTATCATTTATCATAAAAACCGGATTAATAAAAATAAGCACGTAACTTCTCTCTTATCATGCCATCAGCTTAGAGAGTATATGTAAATGAAACTGTGTATCAACAATGAAATTAAATCCATGAGTTATTTAATCCGTCTTGCAGTGCATACACTCATTTATTTCCTTCTCTCCCTCGCACTACATGTTTCGGCATAATAATGCCATCNACAAGATAGTGAAGGAGTGCTCCAACAAAGGAGAATGGGCGTGACTGACGTAGTGAGGGGCGACGTAGCGATGTGGTATCCTGAACAATTTTAATATTTTTAACGTTTGACAATGTATATGATAGATACATATTTTAGTTATTTTAATGTGTGAACATGGCATGCAATGAACTGGTTTGACGTGGATAAGTAAGCACCTGAAGATGGCATTATTATGCCGAAACATGTAGTGCGAGGGAGAGAAGGAAATAAATGAGTGTATGCACTGCAAGACGGATTAAATAAATCATGGACTTAAAATCAGTGCAACAGGACGCTAAAATATAACATTAATGAAATTAAAGTTGTATGATGGTTTTTGATGCCATATGTAATGCTCCTTCACACCTTGGTTCTACAGACAGCTTTATTTTAATATACATCTTTACTCACACCTAGTTACTTTAAGTTTCATTACTCTCCATTATTTCTATCTTCTTTATGCATGTGAATTTTTCCACTAGGGTTATACAGTTTGCTGTCTTGTCACCAAATTATTCTGATAATCCATAAATACATCTTGTCAGTCAGTGACATATCAACAGTCTGAAAGTCTGAAATCATCTGATCCAGTCAAAGCAAATGCACTTGGCTTTAAAATGCAGTTCATCAAACTTCTCGTTATAAGACAGGTGAAATGTAAAATGTAACATCTGACAGCTGCCTCACAACATGAAATACCTAGAATACCATATTATATCACTGTGCTCTTACCATGATTCATATACAGTCCCTGTATTCTATTTCTACTCCTGTGAACCTGGAAATCTGACATAATTTCGTTTAAAATGTCAGGATTGGGCAATAGGTTTATAATTTCCTGATAAGGAGCGATGTCTGTTTCTCCAACATGACCTCTTTTTTCTAGTATGGTTATTAAATCGTTGAAATTGTTTACATAACTAGAACGTCTTTTTGAGTTTATAATGGGCTGGAAAGTACTAATAAAATTCTTCAGATGCTTGTCACTTAGATGTTCTTCGGCACACTTAACTACTTGAACTCTGATCTCGCTGTATGTAGGTGCATAACCTGCCATAGCGCCGTATAAGCATTTACTGTGATTCAACTAACACGTATACATATATATATACACAAACATAATCTGCAGGTTCAAATTCAACATGTTACACAGTGTTCCTTTTGTGCAAAAAATAAAATCTGCACATTCCAAACACAAACATGAATGTTTAACTACAGTGGCCCACCATGTTACCAAAAATTTTCACTGTTACACACAATTTCCCCTATGTCGCACAACTCACGAAGCTCACGTGCCTCGCGTGTTACTTACTGTAACCCAACACTCCACTTAACACAACACAAGCGTCGACTACCATCTTTTATGATCTTTGACACAGAACACGGTTAGCAGCGTAGTAACGGTAGTAACGGTGGTAACAAATTGGAACGACTTCAAACGGAAGAAAGCCAAGCTTACTCTATCGTGTTATATATTAGTCCCACAGATGGTGTACATACGCATAGACAGCGTTATACCTCTTTTTTTTTTTAATGTCGAAAACGTTATTATGTGAGGGTGAACATGGAATGAAGTCGTAAGTAACAGAAAATATAACAATTATTCCAATACAAATCCCAATTTTATTACATTTTCAACGTTTATCCTAGGAAACAAGGTTCTCAAATCATTATTTTATCAAAGTATTATGAAAGCGCAGATATTACATTGAAACGTTGCACATAATATATGAATTCGAGATGAAAGGTTTGTCGTCAATTTTCAACCGAGTTTGAATTGATCGTGTTCTTCCATAAGAACACTGATCCATTGAATCGGATTATAGAATAACCAAGCTGTGGGTATCGTTTGGATCCGTGACTATGTGTTCCATTCTATGCTTTGCATCTGTATTCTGTGGGTTTAGTGTTTGCTGATGGCGCTGGTGTTGTTAGCAGAACGACCTGGAGGGGTGGGGGGCATGTGAGTCGGGTGGGGCGGTTGGTTGTAGTCAGTTGTAGTAGGTGAAGGTACGGGGCGGTGGGGACCATAAGGACGGTTACGGAGAAGTTAAGGTAGTTATTGGCGGTTTATTGCCGTTTCGTGATACATCGGAGGGCACTGGTCAGAGGGTTTGGTTGGTGTGGAATTAGGACGAAATAGCGTTAGAGTAGGAATATTTAAACATTCACACTTATGGCGGGCTGTTCACTATTTTGATCACATTTGTGAGGTACCGGTTGTGGCACACATTCGTTGAGAGGCGTGTTTGAAACAAATTGACGTACATTTCGTGATATAGTTTTAACAGTAGTAACTGAAATATTGTGAGCTGATATTTAATTTTACCATTATTTTTTGTACAAGTTCATTCAGTAAAATGAATTACATGGAAATTTCGTTGCCCAATTACACATACATGTTCAACTTTGAAGAGGAATTCAAGCATCAGGATACAAGAGTTTGGATGGTGAAGAACTGGACAAAGAGCTTCTACTATTGTGGAATCTACATGATTTTGATATTTGGTGGGAAGCATTATATGCAAAACAGGCCGAGATATGAACTTCGTGGAATTCTGTCAGTTTGGAATACAGCATTGGCGGCGTTCAGTATCATTGGAGCATGTAGAACAGCGCCCGGTTTCTTCCACGTTCTCAAGAATTACGGTTTCTACCATTCCGTCTGCATGACAAGGTAATTGGAGATATATCATGTAGTTAATCCTCTGTTGCTCTTGAATATCAAGTACCTAAAATTGACACGTTTTTGAAAGGACAGTTAGCTGGCGTTAAAAATAAAAATTAACCACACTAAACTTGGTCTTGGCTGCTCTATTTTTGCGACATAATTTATTTATAATCGAGGTAAAATACTGTAAGCATTAGATACGTATTATGTCCATGGTTGTGGAACGAGAGCATGCTTATCCACCACCAATGAAAATATGTCAGAATTACAGGTTATACCTCTTTACAGAAACAAATAAGTATATAATATATTTCAAGGCCTTTTAAAGCCCCCTCTTTTTTTCTGGCTTCTCAGCTGGGAGATAAATTCAGTGTTCTCCAACTCCTATCATTCAGAACATGTGTTCCCATAGATTCTCTTGATATGTTAAATGAAAAGACAAAAAATGACCACAGCTTTTTTTTTAACTTTTTCTGTATTTAGAGAGCTGTCCTGCTATCATTGACTGTATAAGCATTTCGTGTTTTAAAAATTCTTAAGTTCTATCTATATCTCCATGTGAAATATGTTTCTATACTTGTATTATGATATATTCTTAATCCATTGGTTTAGCCTAAAGAAGGATCTCTAGAATAAAGACAAACTCCGCTCTAAATAAATGTTGTATATTAACATTTAAATGTAATGAACAACAATAAAATATAAAAACATTTCGTTTATATTGAATATGTTTGATTTGTTTGAATTTTCTGCATTGTAATTAGCCAGAATTTTTAAACATAGATTAGTAATAATATTTTGGAATTTGGTACCACCAAACCATTGTATGTTTATTGCAATTATACAGTCTGTTATGATATCAGATAATAAGATAAATTTGTGTAGGACTACCAACACCAAATTATTTATTACCTATACCAGTAACAGATTCAGGTCAGATGTTATAAGGTATGCTGCAACATGTTGTGTTCCAAGATGGGACAGGTCTGCAGGATGAGCAGATCCTGTGGGAGGCAATTGGGGGTAGGTTGAGCACTGTAGCTGAAAGTTACTAAGACAAGTTGATTAAGAACCAAAATGACAATAACTGATCATCTGCTTAAGCAAGGCAGTGGTCATCCTCTGTCAGATCTGTTCCACACACATAGATACAGATAGGCTCGGAATCAGATTAAAACGGGGGTTGTGATTGCTGGGTCTTTATACAAGTTTAGTGATGCCAATCTATGAGATGTTTCACAAAACAGTATTACAAGATCGTGGGCTGAACAGATCTCAGCACTCTGCCCCTGTGTACATGAATCTTGATTTGTTGCTGTAATAGTAGTCTGAGGACATGTAGCTTTGAAATTATATGTTTCCCTCTGCTAAAACAGCTTGTTTACATCCGTGGTTTTGAAATAGCAACAGGAGTACTGATTATAGAATTGTTATGAATCATACATTTTCTAAAAAATAATAAAGTCATTATATACCATAATTGTGTGTATTTGATTCTGCATAGATTGAATCTGGGTAATGCTTGCTACCATTCAGTTCAGAACCTTTTCTTTTTTTCATCTGCTGTCTGAAAATGTAAATATTAAAATATACAAAACTATACTTTTGCGTGCACTTTTGTATGATTGTGAAACGTGGTCATTGACATTAAGGGATGAACATAGACTGAAGGTATTTGAGAACAGGGTGCTGAGGAGAATATTTAGACTGATGAGGGATGAAATTATGGGAGGCTGGAGGAAACTGCTTAATAGGGAACTTCATAACTTGTACTCTTTGCCAAATATAATTACAATGATCAAACCAAGGAGGATGAGATGGACAGGGCATGTAGCATGCATTGTGAGAAGCGTAATGCATATAAGGTTTCGATTGGAAAACCAGAAGGAAAGATACCATTAGGAAGACCAAGACATGGATGGGAGGATAATATTAATATGAATCTTAGAATAATAGGTTGTGGTGGTATGGACTGGATTGAACTTGCTCAGGATAACGACCAGGGGGAGGCCATTGCTAACACAGTCACAAACCTTTAGGACCTATAAAATGTTGGGAAATTCTTTAGTATGTGAATGACCGTTTGCTTCGTAGGGAAGGAGCTCAGCTCCATGGAGTTAGTTAATTAATTAATTAATTAGGTCATATATTAAGAATGACTTAAATAGAAGTGCCTAAGAAGATGCATGTATAACTACATTAAATAAACTGATGTCAGCTGAATCCAGAATAAAAAAAGTACATAAAATAATTATAGTTTAAAAAGTCATATGTCATATTCTCAAACTACAATCAAACTACAATAAAAATATATTCTGTTTCAAGCCATCACAACTGCTCTAAATTGCTGTCTTCTGCTATAATCCACATACCCATTAGTCAAGAAGTGTTTTTTCAACAAAATTCAGAAGATACACATAATAAACTACATTTGACTGTGAAGAAAGCAGTCTTCTGGGATGTGGCGCTGTGTAGACATTGTGTTAACCGACGTTTTGGAGGAACATATCACCTCCATCTTCAGGGTAGAAGAAGAAAGAATTGCTTGCTCCCCCAGTATCCACCGGATAAGAGATTGGGTGGGCTCCGGAACCAGTCTGAACGATTTGGAGAGGAGAAAAATCTTGCCCCCACCGAGACTTGAACTTCAACCCTTCAGCTGTCCAGCAGTAGCCAGTCACTATACCAACTGCGCTATCCAGGCTCATTGTAGCCTCTATACTTTACAAATTATCTTCAGTGTTGCCCCAGTAGATCTTTGAACGACTTCTCTGAAGCAAACTTATGCATTATGTGTGGGTTAACCGTAATTAAACAAAAAGGGTGAATCAAAATTAAAAGTGCACATTGAAGGGAAATTGGGTGAAATCAGTGATAGGTTTGAACTTTCTCCTTGAAAATCCCCTAGATGCCTTGCAAAGGAGACTGGGGTTTAAAGTTTAAATTTCCAAGTTTGTTCTGTTGCCAGAAGGCATGAATATGAACATTCTATGGGCCTGCAAAGAATTTATGCATAACAACACAGACCATTTTTAGCATCCACTATGATGTGTTTTTTTTTTGGGGGGGGGCGGTAGTGAAGTGTGCTGTATGTCTGAACATGCATGCAATGTACTTGCATGAGGAGCTCCTCAGTTCTGCAGGACTGGCTGAACAGTTTGTGGCAGACACAAATAACCTCTCTGTTGTAATGACCTTTTCCACTGTAATTATTGTATTTTCTTTTGCAATATCTTGTTGGGGATTTGCTTGATATGTATTTTTTAACACTGTTATAAATGTATTCCCTCGATATTTTTTAGGTCATTCTTAATTTACTGTAAGTTTTAACTGTTAATTCTCATTTTACCTAAATGTTTGATTGGGGCACACGGTATTGAAATTACACCCAACTCTCGATTATCCGGTGCAGATAAACCTGTTTGCGGCTTAACTGGGGCTTTTTTTTGTGGCTTATATGTCGTTTACTATANAGAGTGGTTTAACTGTGACTCGTGTGAACCGGGCTTCGAAATGTTAAGCAGTGACGAAATCGTAACTTCAATGGGGGTGCAGCCAGAAGAGCGGGAAGAAAGTGAGAATGAGGAAGAGGTGGACAGTGTTGCTAGTAAGAAAGTATCACATGGTGCTGCGCTTAATCATTTGGAATCCTTACTAGACTATCTTGAGAGTGAAGAGGACAGTTTATTAAGTGACAAGCTAATATTACGTAGGCTTCGTACACATATATCCGTAAAAAGGAAAATGCCGCGAAAAAGCAAATGACAATATTAATTTTTTTAACTGTTAAGTGTGAATATTCGTGTTAAGTGTGAATATTCGTAAAAAGTATTGGATGTTGTTGAACACTGTGATTGAAGTAACTAATTCATACTTCAGTGTAATGTAAAAAAATATTAAATAGGCCATGAAGTGACATAAAAATGAGGTTGAACAAATTTAAATAGAGGTAGGCTTATAGTATTATGAAGGTACAGTATTACAGTACTACTTTGAATAAAATTTGTCTTAACCGGGTTTTCGATTAATTGTGATTTCCATCCCCACCATTATCCCAGATAATCGAGAGTTGAGTGTATTTCAGTATCGCCCACTCTGAACATACATAATTAAAAATTATGCAGGACATATTAAATAATTTAATTTTTCAATCCTATTTGTCTTCCAAGGACCTGGGGTTTGTGTTACATTTATACCTCCAGAGTTTGAAGGATGCAGTGACTAATTGCATATCCTCTTCTGCCAGTGAGCAGCCAGTATAGCGGCTGGCTACAGGCTGGACAACTGAGGGGCCGGATTTCAAGTCCCAGTAGGGTCAAGAATTTTCTCTCCCCCATGTCATCCAGACTGGCTCTGGGGTCCACCCAACCTCCTACCCAGTGGGTATCCAGGGCTCTTTACCTAGGTGGTAAAGTTTTACATTTTGATATTGAGAAGGAAAGTAACCATATCCGAGGCGAAGAATGCGTACTCCTTTCATGTTTGTGTAAATGGTACAACAGCAGTTAGAATTTGCTGACTGGCATAAATTGAGTTGTGGGCTTACAGCAGTCCACAGACCACCAGTTGTGAAGTGTACTGCAGTGACCCATACAGTAATGATTCCCCAGCATGTATGATATTCTTTCCAAAGTATCAGGTTCATGATATTTCTGTATTAAATGTCTCCACCTTGTGATGTCCTGTGAAGTTCTGGAATTTACATTACTCCTTTCTCTTTGTTCAGCTTCATCGATCAGGACCGGGTGTCCGGTTTCTGGACTTGGATGTTTGCATTATCAAAACTTCCAGAATTAGGAGACACAGCATTCATCGTACTACGGAAACAGCCTCTGATATTCCTCCACTGGTATCATCACGTGACAGTGCTCCTATACACCTGGTATTCATATTCAGAATACACAGCTTCAGCACGATGGTTCATCGTTATGAATTACTGTGTCCATTCCTTGATGTATTCATATTATGCGCTCAGATCAATGGGTTACTCAACTCCAAGATCGTTTGCTATGATCATTACACTATGTCAGTTGGCTCAGATGATAATTGGATGTGCAATCAATATCTGGGCACAGCAGGTGATCCAGCAAGGTTTACAGGAATGCCACATTTCACCTACAAATACAAAGGTGTCGCTTATCATGTACTTTAGTTACTTTGTGCTGTTTGCTAGGTTCTTCCAGAAAGTGTATTTTGGGAATGGTAGGAAGGCAAAAGGTGCAACATCAAATGGAATATCATCAGTACACAGTAGTGACAGCAAGCTTAAGGTTCCCTGAATGTGAAGTAAATTAGGCCTATTGTAACATCGTAATTGACTTCAGGTTCCTTCTTAATTACCAGTCTGGATAGTTGAACATTTCTGGAACAGTGGAACAAATTGAATGCATCCTGTATTCATATAAAGTCATTTTTTATATATTTGCTAAAAAGGAATGGTGTTTTTTTTTTCTGGTGAAGTTCTCACTTTGTGATAAATGCATTGTACATTTACACTGTGCCTCTTTTTTGTTGTGCAAAATTGCACATGTTGTTATGTGCTGTGCTGAATGCATCCTGATCCTTTCTTTGTGCAGTGCTTTAATCATTTAAACCACAAGGAACATGTGCAGTACTTGAAATATGGTACCGGGGGTGGTATGTGGTGCTCTTCATGTGGAATTTTTTATGATTTCAACAAAAAGAGAGAAAAGTTGGTGGAGAAAAAAATTACTCAATTGTTATTAAGAGCTACCATTACTGAAGTGAGCGCATGGAAAGTAGTTTTTACAAGCTTCACATGAATGACAGGAGGTGATACGCATTTTTGCCATGATTACTGCCTGTAGTCAGCAGTGAAATCAAAAGAGTTCTCTTCTTTGCTCCTCTTACTGAATTTTGCTGTTATTAATATCAGTGCTACTCTGGAGAAATGAAGGCTGAATAATCAAATACTTTTTGACTGATAGAAGTGCATAAGGTAATTCCACTCTGCATTGTTATTCATGTCTCAAGATGCATGGAAGAAGGGCACTGCATAAATATTGCTTAATAATGACGTGTTTGGATGCATTTCCCATCTAGGTACATGTTCGTCTTATTCAGATAGAGTTGCAGAATACTTCATTCCTCCAACATCTATAGTTTTGGGAGTGGTGATGGCCTAATATTATGGGTCACTGTTTCAAAATTAATTTGTCAGTTTTAAGAATAAATTTGGAACTCACAGAAGTTTCTAAACAATCTGGAAGAGAAATGGCATTTGTTAATTTTGTTCTGGTCTTTAAATATTAATATACAGTAGTGATTATTCAGTCCATATTATTGCCACTAATCTTATTAAAATAGAACTTTTTTTGCTGGGTGTGGCAGGTTGTTGGTTATGATAACTTTACATTGTAACTTGTTCAAAGGATGAGGCTGGCAATATATTGGAAATATTCTCATATATGTATTCCTTATTGATATATCATTTCCTTAATGTAGCATAAGTGTAACAGTAATTCAGAGTTTTTCAGAGTTATTATAATTCAGAACTTTGCTATAAGAGTGCTGTGTGAGTCACTTTTGGATTTTCCATGGCCCACACCTTACAGTTTTGTTTGCTTACACAACTATTAAAGTGTGCTTTATCATTTATTATCAGCTGGGAGCTAAACTCATTGTTTTCAGCAAGTTACACTGAACTGCATATGAAATGCAGTCATGACACATCAATAGATTTCAGTTTCTAAAGTAACTGAATTTCATGTGGTAAACAGTTCAAAACACGTAAGTTTTGAGGTTTTCACGGCGATGACTATGAAGAAAGTCGTCTTCTGGGTTTAGGCGTCGTGTATTCTTCGTTTTGGCCAAAGTTTTGGAGGAACGTCGGCCAAAACGAAGAATACACGGCGCCTAAACCCAGAAGACGACTTTCTTCAGTTCAAAACACGTTTAAGAATTTGTCTTGCAGAGCTTATAGATAATTGAAGTTCCGAAGATTGTCCTTTTTTATAATGGACTGTTCCATATGCACTTGTTCAGTGATTCTCTCAGTTCTGGCAGACTCTTGTGCATCCACCACAGTCCATTCATCATGAGATGTGGGCGCTCATCTTCTGATGACTTCCTCTGATGGGGCTATATGAAATTCAGATATTCTCAAGACTGTTTTAGATGGAGGATTCATTTTTAAAATAGAGTTACAAAATAACAGAACATTCTTGAACTGTCCGCTTTTCCATGTCTTTGAAATTCGTGAGTTTACTTTGTCATCTGAAATGACAACTGCAGTGGTATCTATTATAGTTCCAAAGATACCAAAAATACATTTGTTACAGCTTATGGCTCACTCTGTATTTAGAGTTATGTGGGGTTAACAGGGTTTTGCTGTATCTCGAGTTTTGGCCTGAATTTTGCTGAAAGAAGTGGAAATATAGGGTGCCCACAGTTAAGATGGAGGGGTTAACATGCTCTTCAAGAGGATAGAATAGTCCAAGCCTGGCCTAACCCATGACTACTACTATTACTGCTATTGCTACTATCACTACTACTCCTACTACTTAATTTGGTTGTAGTGGGAAATCTCCAGATTTTCGTGCCTGATAGGTTTCGCTGACTTATAAAACCTTTCTTTTAATAATAAGTTAGTGATGGTAATTATGTAAGTCTACTTAATAAATATGTTTTATCTTTACCTGACTCCTTGCGGCACGCTCTTCTTGAGGAGCCCTTAGTCGTCCAGCTGGTCAGGATTTTTTTTGAACCAAAAGATTGATTGCCATGTTGACGAGAGGCCAGTGCATATCCCAACCCTGAGCCAGATGTAATCTGTGTACAGCATCAAACCCATTTCTTTAAAACCCATTGTGACATCATTCCGTTCATCCCAAGGTCTTCCAAGCTCTTCCTTATGCATGCTACATGCTATACCTGCCTCATTCTTCATGAGTTGATCACTAATATTTGGTGATATTCATTTCTTTATTATGATTAGTTGTTTTAGCGACAACAGTTAATTGAAGAGGAGGTTTTTGATATTATGTATAGGCATATACAATTTCCCAGGCTACTTCTGCATTGTAGAAGATAGAAGAATAACTCTGAAGTGGCTACCTCAATGCAGAGTTGCCAGCAGTCATCCCCAGTAAAATTTTCCATAATAGTTCCAAAACTTGCATCTCCATGAAAATATAATTTTTTACTTATTGTATATTATGATTATATAGTATGTAGAAGACAGTAAAATGAGTGAAAGGCTGTATTACATATAAATATCACCATGATTTGGACTGAATTCTTCCATGGATCATGTCTGTACATTCTTGATCTCATATGTAGAGGATTTGAAATTTTCATCACAAAGCACCTCACCATTAAACACTATAAGAAAGAAAAGTTCCTTGGACAGGAAGTGCCTATTGAAAAGATATGTGAGGAACTTGAATTTGTAAACATTCCTGATGCATTTTGAATGACTGTGAGAAATGTGTTAAAAACTTATACAATTGTGATGTGCTTAATTGAGGCAGTGGGCAGTGTTCTTTGCCCGTCTTTGTACTTCAAGTTTGAAGTATGGCATGTGAAATATTTTTGCAATAGAAAAACTGTTTGTATGAATAATACTTAAGAATGTCATGCTTGGGATGTGGTATGTATACATTCTGTGTTTCACTTAGTTTGTACTTAGGCTGAGGGACATGGACAGCTCCTACATGAAGGGGCATGATTTTCTTAAGCTCTCAAAAACATGGAAAAATTTTTGAAGTATGCTTCCATAAATAACATTCCTGTTTTCACGTTTTTGCTAATAGTGTTCTGTATCATTTTATGTATATTAATTTTAATCTGTATTATTTTCAAAACATTACCAAGGACACTTTGCTGTCTTGTGTGTGTGTGTGTGTGTGTGTGTATGTGTATGTATGTGTGCATGCATGCATGAGCCGGGGTGATTTGTGCACAAGTTAATGTTCCTAGGGGTTACTTGAACATGTTTGTATTGTAGTAGGAAGTATTCATGCTAGACTTCTTATATGAAAATGTATGTAATATGGCAATTTTCAGCTTAAACTCTGAGGCTACTATGTACACAGTATATTTATGAGTTTGTCATTTTGACTTATTTATTAGTTTATTTGATGAACTTGAGTAAAAACTTGACCAGGTTGCTCGTTCGCAAAAAATGGGTCATATGTCATGCCTCTCCATAATACCAAGGACAGTCACCAAATCAGCAGTCTTTAAGAGAAGATGACAAAAAGTAATTTGTTGTGACTGTACATAAATGAAAAGAATATTTTCTGTGACTGCATATTGGAGGGGGGTTGCACTGGCTGTATTCATGAACAGTTAATTGTGGCTACATTTAGGAGCAAAAATGTTTGTTGTGGCTATGTGAGCTTTCAGATAACATTTTAATAGAGATATTTCAGTTTTGTGTGGTGACATTCAAGGGCATATATTTTTATGTGCCTGGTACTTTTGGTTGACTCTCTTTTAATTGTTCTCAAAAATAGCTGATGACTGTACACTGTAATTGCACTATCTGCTCTTGGAATTGTCGCCCATGATTATGTTCATATAGGCTGTCGAAATATGTGCTCGAGTTTGTTCAGTGCATTGTCCAATCCAGAAATGTTAGCCTTGTAAATTTAGTTTTGTGCCTTATGCGGTAGAGTGGAAGTCTGTCAAGTTCAACTCTTGTTTTAAGCATGTATCTGCAGTAGTGATGTGACTTTGAGGTTTGTCAGACTCTGCATTTATACATTCGCACCACACACTTCTTTTAAGGTCTCTCGTATCAATGCTGCTCCATTAGGATGGTTTTTGTGCCATTTGAAGTCTCTGTGTAAATGACGTAATTAATGAAATAATGCGGTAGGTTGTGACGCAAGCAATCAGAAGTCTTGAAGTTTCACTCATGAAGTGAGAATAACCACAAACCAGGCAGTATATTGGTGCACAGTGCGAAAGTGTGGCACCACAACTCTGACATGATTTTATATTTAAGGTATGTGTTTGTGTGCGTGATGTAAGTGACAGTGAGCGGTCTTAAGCTGTTAGTTCAATAATTAGAGATCGTTGCTGTCCAAAGTGTACCGAAAATGTATACAAACTTAACATATTTGTTATGTAGATAGAATTCCATCGTTAGTCAGGTCCTTTTAACCCTGGAAGAAAAGTGAGTCCAGCACAAGTTCAGATTAACACTCATTTTGTGATGGAATATTTATTTTATTCTTTATCTGGTTTGTAAACAGTGACTTAGTCATAACATTCTTTTTTCCTTTCCAAGACACTAAGACCGCCTCTGTGGTCCCTCTATCCGCAAAAGTTGGCACTAAACTTCGCTGACAAGCGACAGTTACTCGCTTGGTCGGTATAGTTCGCTTATGGACTAAAATCACGGAGTTTTTTCCAAGACACTAAGGATTCTGGTCTAAACCCATTTCTTTAGTAATGGCTTGGAATTTCCATTTAGTACTTTGACATACTATTTGAGTTTGTTTACTCAAAGTACCTCAGATTAATTTAAAATTTTCAGAATATATGCCTGAGAATTATTACAGAAGTTTCATGTATTTGTACCTAGAGCTTGAAGGATCATGCCAAGTTGTGCTTGCCAAATTAAAAATTCCATTTCCCTTAAAGGGAGAAAATAAATATTATCAAAATCATCATACTCTTATAATCTCCCAACAATGAGAACACATTATGATGTTCTTATACATTGTCACTGGAAAATCTGTAAAAGTTAGTACTCCACATATAATCCATAATAATGCAGTATCAGAACTCAGATCACATTTTTAAAGTACTATAATGTGTTAATTTCTCTTGCCCCCTCTCTCGCTCTGTATACACATTAAACCATTTTTATTTTTCTTTATTTGGCCTCTTTGCAGTTGACAAAAGAGGAGAGTGGTTGTGGAGATACTGCCAGCATATTCATATCATTATAAGAGAAGAAAATAAGTCCTGAAACACAGTCCATTAAAATAAATTAGCATTGTGAACTCCTTGCCAGCTCACAAGATTAACTTGTGGCAACCATACTGTTCACATCTGCTAAACTACATTCATTATCCAAGAATGAAATTGAAGAGTTGTATCTTCTTGGATATAATGCCATGCAGTCCAGTGAAAGTCATCTGACTTTTCAGAGTAACACATCACCTCCATTTTCAGGGTCAAATAGTAAGCCAGTATGAAACAGGTACCAAGTAGAGCTGAGGTAATTGATGTGATATGTCCCTTGAGAACATCAGATGATTTTCCATTGGACCACATGGCATCACATCCCGAAAGATAGAAAGCCTCATAACTGCCGTGAGAACATCAAATCCAGTAAGGAAGCTCTTTGCCTGTCATCATGTGATAAATAGCTAATGTTACCTAAACGAGTGAACATCATGAAGCCATTACAGTGTGCTTGTGGGTTTATTTGCTTCTGTATTTGAAT